GTCAGGGGGCCCCCTGCCTGTCCATGCCTAGGGCCCCAAATTTCCTAAATCCGCCCCTGCCTATAGACCATCATGACAGGAAAAAATGGATTTTCAGCTGGCCCCTGACCCGCCAAAGGATTGGGCAGCTCGATTAAAGGAAACACCTCAGTTTCAGGTTTGGGTTCAGGGGCTGGCTGTGGGGAGATTAAGCCTCCCCCCATATCTTTTTTTTAACCAAGCCCCCACAGGTCCCCCAGAACGGGTAACCCTTGTGGAGGTGCTGGGCATAGGAGAATAAGCCGGTGGATTCTCAACTTTAGGAGCTGGCAAGACTGGGGCTGAAGCAGAAGCAGCAGCAGCACCAAGTTCATTTGGGTCTTGCTGTAAAGCTGCTTGTGCAGCTGCTTGTGCTTGCTGTAATAATGCTGAATATGGACCTACAGGTAAATCATCTTTACGATGGGTATGTGCAAGGGTATGGGTTCTTTCATTGTAGTTCTGCAGGCTCCTGTATCACACAAAATTTAACAGGAGTGCCCTGGACCATCAGAACTATTTCTGGTCTATATTTTTCTTTTGAAAAACAAATCTTCTAGGTTTAAGACATCCATATTTTCATCCCCTATCTCTCTAATAGAAAATGGCTGCTCATCTAGTCATGCTGAGCTTCCTATTTTTGTGGTTTACTTCGACAGTGTCTAGCTATGTGGCCTTTTTTTCCACATGACCAACACGCTCTGGAATCATCAGTTGAGTGTGATCCAAAGCCTCTTCCCCTTACACGGCCTCGACCTCTGCCTTGGCCTCTACCTCTGGACTGCTGATAAAACACAGTGTCCTCTTCCTCCTGATAAAAGACAGTGGATTCTTTATTTTTATTCTTTTTACTTTTTATGACTTTCTCAGCATGCAGGGCGTGATTTATATTATTTTGAAGTGTTCCACCACTCATCTCTATGTGGTGACGATTTACCCATTCTTGAATTATACATTCTTCCACATCCTTCTTTGGAGAGGGAATTCCTTCTACTGCTTTTCTTTGTTTCTCCTCTCTCTTAACTCTACGCTTTCCCTCTTCTCTCTGTCCTGCTAATTTCATCCAGACCATGGTTTGCATGTAACCTTCTTTTGCCATCAAAGTGTCTTTATTTTTGCTTTTTGTTTTTATTTTTTGTTGCAATTCTTTAATGTTTGTGGTGCTCAATTTGCCATTAAAACCGTAGTTTTTTATCCAGTAACACAACGGCTCTACCACCGATGGGTCATCATTTTCGACTGCTTTCCAATCTTTACACTGGAGTTTCTCTAATAACTTCTGTTTTTCTTTACTTTGCCCTTTTCCCATTTTGAACTAAATTTGGGCCCAGTGGGTTTTTAACACCTGTCGTGTTCTAAACACTGGGGCTTCAGACAAGATGGTGATCAACTACTTTTCGTGGTAAAACTCACTTCAACCTTTACAGGTGGAGTTTTCTTGTCTACAAACATCCACAAAAGCTCACCATTTAACCCTTGTCTTTTTGGTATGAAATACAGATATCTAGTGATATCTATATTTCCTTTCACATACACACACTCACACACACACTGCGCAGTTAACTTTTACTTTTTTTCCTTTTTCCTTTATTTTAAACACAGAGGACGCCGCCGTCCTATGCAGAATTTAACTAGTTTACAAACTAGGGGAGCCTGCCCTCCCACGGACTTTAACTGTTTTAAAATTTCTATTTTACCTGATAGAGTCTAGAATTGTCAGGGTTTTAGTACAAAGGGGAATCTCGCTACCCCACGCGGAGAGGACTTCGCCGTCCTTCACTTCTATCTTTTTTATTTTTATAATTTTATAAATTTTTTATTTTTATATTTTTATATATATATATATTTTTTTTTTTCTAATAATTCACTCACTCCTTATTAAAAGAAAAACTACTCACAATTCTCTGCGTCCTCGAAATGCTTCAACCGTCGGACCCCAGCTTGTAAGGGAGAGACCAGTCCCGTAAAGGGTCTCTTTGCTGCGGCCGCAGGCTTATCTGGATCTCACTCACCTGCTGGGGGTCGTCGGGTATCTTGCAATCCGGCTCGAAGGACCAATTAATGTTAGGTTTAAACACCAAACACCTTATTCAACCTGCACAAAAGAAAGACACAGAGAATTTAGTATAATTTACTTGCAAGGAGAGGGGGTCAGAAACTGCATTCAGTTACAAACTCCAACCCACTCTGAAGCAGTTTCCGCTCTCTCCAAGCTTTTTATTAAGGAACTCCCTGGCTACAAATGTGGTTCCGACTGCTAAAAGGGAGGGGGGGTGAAACCAGTCGGAACCAGAAGTTCTGTATAACATCATACAACATCATAAGATAAGGAGAGCTTCCACTCCTTATCCGGTGCTAGTGTGTACAGTTCTCCGTGTTTTCTCCTTGACCCCGACTGGCCTTCCTGGACACACTAATAGCAAGCACAGCAAGTAAAACATTTCAACACTCTGTGTAAAACAAGTAAACAGGAATATGCAAATGTGTAAGTATGAATGTATAAGTATAATATGATTAAAGTAATATGATTAAAGTAGAATAACCTGTACAATTAATCCAACAACTATGAACATGAATCAGTTGATCTGAACCTGCTTGAACTGAGTTCAGAACCAGTTCTAGTTCAGGGAGAACTGGGTCAGCACTGGTAGAAGGTTCTAGATCTCTTTCTAACCTTCATCAGGTTAGTTATTCTACAGGATGTCTTTAAAATCTGATTGTTCCTTATGTTCCTAACAGAGCACTTCGCTCTCAATCTGCAGGTTTACTAGTGGTTCCTAGAATTTCTAAAAGTAGAATGGGAGGCAGATCTTTTAGTTATCAGGCTCCTCTCCTGTGGAACCAACTACCAGTTTTAGTCCGTGAGGCAGACACCCTGTCTACTTTTAAGGCTAGGCTTAAAACTTTCCTTTTTGATAAAGCTTATAGTTAGAGTGGCTCAGGTTATCCTGAGCTATCTCTATAGTTATGCTGCTATAGGCTTAGACTTTTGGAGGACATAGGGACCCCCATTTCATCATTCTGCTTCATTCTCTCTCTGTTCTCCTATTCTGCAGAATCTGTTAGTTCAATCTCTAACCTTCTGCTCTCTCTGCTTTTCCTCAGAGTAGCTTTGCCTCGTCTGTTCCTGTTTGGCTGTGACGTCATCCTGGAAAGAAACATCAGCTGTGCTGCTTCTATCAACACCCTTGTTTATAGATGTTGGAGATCGGCCTGTTTTCCAGTGTGGTCCTGTTTCTCTGACCGTGACTGAGTGGATGTGCTTTCTTCGTCCTCTGGCATGGGAGCTGCCTTGGAGCTCGTCTGCCTGGCTGTGTGTTTCCTGGACGGGGCCGCCTTTTACAGCTGCTTTTTGTATCTCTGCTTCTGTCTCCTTGAACCCCAGTCGGCCTCGGCAGATGGCCGCTCACACTGAGCCTGGTTCTGCTGGAGGTTTCTTCCTGTTAAAAGGGAGTTTTTCCTCTCCACTGTCGCTACAAGCATGCTTAGTGTGGGGGATTGTATTTGAGTCAATGAGTCAATGCAATCAACTGGTTTTCCTTAGATAGAAAACTTTGTATCAATTTGATCTGGTTGAACTGTAAAGTGCCTTGAGATGACATGTGTTGTGAATTTGGCGCTATATAAATAAACTGAATTGAAAATTGAATTAAAATAGTTCAGTTGATATTTCTGTGAAGAATTTGATAGAATCAGCTGGAAAACAAAGTTCATATCTTCTATTCTAATAAATCTTCTCCTGAGTTGGTCTTTGGACTTGGAGCCTTCAGTTCATATCCTAACATAGAAAGCAAAGCTGAAGTTGGCAGAGTCATGGAGGATGGAAATGAACTGGACTTCCTGTCATTCATTTTCAGGGTGTTATGGCTCAGGGTCCTAAAAACTGGAGACCATGCCACAAGGTGCAGAGAGAAACATTGATTTAGGATCAAACACAGGTTAACAAAAACTAGAATGGATGGAAGTGTCTGTATCAGTGGGGTAGAGCAAATGATTGGATGTGTCTGTGTGATCATCAGAGTGACCACCATTTTTCTGATTTCACCATCAAAATGAGGACCGCTTGTTGTAAAGTGAGGACATTTTTCTGCTCCTGCTGAGCTGCTTTGCTAACAGTTAGCTTTAGGGTTAATGTCAGGGTCAGGGAATAGAAAGGGTTAAAATGACTGAAAATCAATGGAAGACAATACATGATGATGATGATGATGAAGGTGGTGATGATGATGATAAAGATGATGGTGATGATGATGATGGTGTCCAGCAGCACGGCGTCCATCAGGGGGGCGTGGAGAGAGAGAGAAAGAGGCAGGGATTTCTATCCTCTGTTCAGGATCTCCATCACCATAACCTGCAAAGAGGAGGAGCAAACAGGGCAGAAACACCAACACACAACCCAGCTCACAAGGCCTAGGGCTGAACAAAGGGTAGCTGACACACACTGTGTGCAGAGATCCACCTAGGCATGGGCCGCTACTGAGCTCCAATAAAAGCAATAGAAAAGAAAAAGAAGAACTCTGAAATCCAGACGAAAACATGGAAGATGAAAAGAGGTACGATCAGTGCAGGTTCATCATCAACAGGATGGTAGCTTCACTTTTTTCATTTCACACTTTATGTGATGCAGAGTTAGAAAAAATCCTAATGTCAGTTTTTCCAGTATTGTGCAGCCCTACTGTGGAATAATTGATCATCTAGTTGAATTGATCTGCATTCATCTCCATTTGTTCATCTTTCCTCCAAAGTTCTCCAGAACTTGTTTGTTTTTTTCTGTGAAACTTGAAGAATTTGGCAGCAGAAGCTGAGTTTGTATTGATGGAGCTGCTGGTGGAGCTGACAGAGATAAAGAGCTGAAGTCAGCAGGTCTTTATTGGAGCAGCAGCATGTTGGCATTAATATTAATGAGAGCTCTTTAACTGCTTCTGTTGGACTGTTCTAACCTGCATCCTGTTGGATCAGCTCACATCTTTCTATTCTTTATCCAGGTTGGATTGCTGCGGTTTGTAAAAGATCAGCTGTGCTTCTCTGGTCTCAGCTCTGAAGTCAAACCCCTCCCATCTGACACAACTGGACCTGATGAGCAACAAACTGAAGGAGTCAGATGTTCAGCAGCTGCAGGATCTTGTAGAGAGTCCAGACTACAAACTGCAGACTCTGTAAGTAGATGGTTGGAGTGAGTCCAGCTGCTGTCAGCATGATTGTTCTAAACCCAGTTAGTATCAAAGCAAAGATCCAGTGTTTCCAGTAAAGCTGCAGCTTCTCAGTGGGAGGAGAACGGTGACAGGCTTCCTGATTGGACACAGAGACAGCAATCAGCCAATCAGAGGAGCCAGAAGCTGGTTGTGTTCCTGTGTTTGTGTTGATGTGAAGACGACTGTTGTTGTTGTGTTCATGTCTCCAGGAAATGAAGCTGGATTCCAGCTGCCAGCCTTCCAACATGTCTAGAGACAGTGGTCCTCATCCATCAAACTGTGGGAGCATCAGATCTGATCTCAGACTCTTTGTTCTCTCATTTCAACAGGAAACAACTGATCAGTTTCATCTTAGCCACAGCTCTGAGATCAGTCTGAATGCAGCCTGGAAATCAGTGGCTCTGATTTCACAAACCATCATTCCATTTAGTCACCATGTGGTCTTTCTACAGAGCAGAAGCTCTGCTGAAGTCCACTCAGCACATCTGGACATGTGTCCTTCTGTCATTAGTCTCATCCAGATGTGTTCAGGGACAGCCTCCATGTTTATTAGTCAGCTGATATTTCAGAAACAGATGAGATGTTGATCAGCAGCCAGAGTTTCTGTGTTTAAATGGAGCAGCAGCTAACATGTAGCAGCAGTAAATCCATCACTACAGTGTTTGTGCAGCAATGAAGCCTTCAGGACTCTCAGCAGGTGGTTTCCACTGTGGACTGGAGGGAAACCTGCAGAGGAACCAGACTGGATGCTAAAAATGTGTTGAGCTGTGTGAGCTTGGAGCTCAGTGTGTTCACTCCAACACGTTAAGATGAGAGCTGAAAGGAAGCTGGCTCTGCTCCACAGCTGCTCTGAACAGGACTGAAGTCCCTGCTGCTCTTTATCCTGGATGTGCTGCATCACTGACTGACAGCTGATGGAGAGAGAGAGGCTGGAAACACTCACTGATCTCCTCTCTTCATCCTTCTTCTCTCTGCAGGAGGTGATGGAGGTGGTGATCTTAGTGTAGGAGAGAAGCTGATCTGTGTCCTGATGATCCTCAGAGGTTGAAGCTGCAGCAGTTTGAGTTTAAAGAGACTCTGACTGGATCCTGATGATGAACTCTGAGTTTAGAGATTTGTTTGTTTTCATCGTCTCCATAATAACATGTTGATATTCAAATGTTCACATTTTGGATAAAGAAGAAAGGTGGTTTGAGAGGGGCATGAAGAAGCCATCTATTTTAAGAGAGAAAAAAACAACTTTAAATAGAGGTTGTGGACTCAGATTTATATATATATATATATATATATATATATATATATATATATATACACATATATATACACACATCCAATTACACAAGATAATAAAGATAAAAAAGATAAAAATATATAAACATATAGCTCTTCTGTATATCTATATATATGTATGTATATATATGCATATGTATGGCAATTACAGAGGGGATTTATCTGAATCACTTAGATATATATATATATATATATATATATATATATATATATATATATATATATATATATATATATATATATCAGAAAGATGGCCCCCAAAGACAAATGGCTTGGTGAGTACCTCAGGCAGGTGAAAACCAAAAGTGAGGACAAGAAAGAGGAAGGAGAACCATCATGGAGGGACAAGCCGCTGCACGGCGTATACCACAGACAAATAGAAGAAGTGGCTGATATCAAAAAATCCTACCAGTGGCTGGAAAAGGCTGGACTGAAGGACAGCACAGAGGCACTAATCATGGCAGCACAAGAACAGGCACTCAGTACAAGATCAATAGAGGCCGGGGTCTACCACACCAGGCAGGACCCCCGATGCAGACTGTGCAAAGATGCCTCTGAAACCATACAGCACATAACAGCAGGGTGTAAAATGCAGGCAGGAAGTGCATACATGGAACGCCACAACCAGGTAGCTGTCATAGTGTACAGGAACATCTGCCATGAGTATGGGCTGGAAGTCCCAAGGTCAAAATGGAAGACACCTCCTAAGGTAGTTGAGAATGACCGAGCTAAGATCCTATGGGACTTCAAGATCCAGACTGACAAACAGGTGATGGCTAACCAACCAGACATCGTGTTGATGTCACCTTTATGGTCTCCTAACAGCATGGTGTGTCTTGTAATGTCCATTTCATCTCCTTGGGATCTGATTCTGGTGCTTCATGGCTGTAGGTCAGGGTTGGATCATGACTGGAGCAGGAGGAACGTTTTCCAACCCAACAGAGCAGAGAAACACCAGAATCCTTATAGACATGTTTCAGTCAGCCCATCCTGCTCTTCCTCCACCCCCCCGACCCAAGTTAGAGTCTGACCTCTGACCCTGAGGTAGCAAGTCACCTTTTTTTCACCAGACTCCAAATTTTCACCCAAACAGGAATAAAACTATCCTACAGAATGAGGGAAAAAATACATTAATCATATGTTGTGTTGATATGAGAAACAAAAACAGTTTTTTTCCATGAATTGATATAGAAAAATGTAGAGCAGTTCTGGTTTTATTTTAACATTTTCCTACTGTGAGGATGGAATTCTGAGTAGGTCCACTAGGTGGGGATCATTGCTTTGTGGATGGTCAATAGGCTCATGTTCAGTTTTTCAATGTTAAAGCTGTCCTAAGCATGGTGAATGGACTGTTACTGAAGAACAACAGAATAGTGATTCCTCAAGAGTTAAGGCAGGACATTCTACAGGGGATTCATGAGGGTCTCCAAGGTATTAAAAAATGTAAAGAAGAGCTAGAGAATCAGTTTTCTGGCCTGAAATGGATAAAAATGCTGAGGTGCTAATAAGCAAATGTGAAACATGTCAGACATTTAGAAACAAAAAGAGCAAAGAACCAATGATAATATCTGATGTTCAAACATCACCATGGCTGAAAATGGGAATGAATTTGTTTCATTTAAAGGTAAAGACTATTCAGTGATCATTGGTTTCTATTCAAACTATCCGGAGATGGCTGTGTTAGGTTACATGTCATCAAATTGTTTCATAACACATGCTAAATCAATCTGTGGAAGGCATGGCATTCCACAGATTGTGATGAGTGACAATAGACCATGTTTTAGTAGCAGAGAATGGCCAACGTTTATAGAACAGTATGATTTTAAGCATGTAACATCAAGTCCTCATTATGCACAATCGAATGGAAAAGTGGAGAAAGGAGTTCATATTCTTAAGCAGATTCTGAAGAAAGCTGCAGATAGTAACTCTGACCCATATTTAGCTTAATTAAGCTACAGATTACCAACATTGCAATGTGGATTTTCAACTGCTGAACTTTTGATGAATCAGAAGATTTGTACAACTCTGCCAAGTTATGAAAGTAATGAACAAGGTTTAAAGAATCTGTCAATATTGGAGTAAAAGTTATGAAGAGAGAAAATAAAACAAAAGTCATATTATGACAGATCAGCAAAGATTCTACATCCATTGTCATACAACGATCCAGTAATGATTCAGGATAATAAGGGATGGAATACTATACTGCAACTATTGTGCAGGAAGGAGCTCCATGTTCATTTGAAGTAAAAACAGAAGATGGACAGTTCTGAGACGAAATCATCGCAGTTTGTTGAAAACACCTTTAGAGACTGTTGAGTCAAAAGAAGATTCTAAGGACTCTAAGATTATTTCTCCAACTGAAGCACTTTGTGACATGGACAGTATTGGGGACAATCCCCCTTTGTTGCAAAGATCAACCAGAATGGTGGAAAAAACTGATAGAAAAAAAGTTGAAATGCTTATATCTTGTGATTCCCGTTTTAAATGTGCGCTATCGGTCTTAAACAATTAATATTGGTATTCTTGGACAGAATTCTTTTGTAACATATTTCCTAAAGAAAGGAGGATAAAGTGTGAGTCCCATGGAAAAGAGTCATTAATAAAAGTGTCTGAGCAATACAAGATGCAAGACGCCTGGTCGAACATGAATATAACAGCTATTACATTAAATTGGAATCAAAATATTAATGAGCATATAAACTTTTTTTTAAACTTTCTTTGGACTCTGAAGTAAAGTTTTGTGGCAAAAGCAGCGGGTAAAAGAAGATGAGACGATCACAACAGCGCTCCAGTAAAGAACCTTCAATAGCAGCCTGGAAAATTATGCAGATGTACTGTAGGCCCACATCATTTGTCAGCTGAGAAATCACAGCATATTCAATGTTGTTCCAGTTCATAATAAAAAACAACAAGCTCAAAGTTCATAGTTGACTTTTTTTCAAGCAATGAACTAACTTCACAAACCTATAAATGAACTAGTTTAAGTTCATTTGGTAAATGAAGCCACAATCCTCCACAATAGAAGCTCATATTTCCCCCTTTAACTGTTTGATCATAATATATAGGAAGAAATTGAAAATCCTAGATGAAGGATCAAAATCAGAAAATATCTGGATCAAAATGATTTCTTCCTTTCCTCATTCAGTAGCAGATATTTCCACAGATAGCTCTGATGCTTTAACTCCATGTGTGGCTTTAAATGTGAAGTGGACGTGGCTGATGGACGAACATGTTTGTTAAGTCCTGGTGGGAACAGTTTATACTAAACGTGAGGTTTTTTCTGTGCCAGTCTTCCTTTGTTAGTTGATCAAACTCTGCCAAGCGCTCTGCTAAACTGGCATCGGAAATCCCAGCAGATGAGTCTGAATGGAGCAGACTGGTACTAGCAGTAGACCTGCTGCTCTGTCAGGCTGTTTGCTGTAATAAGTAACATAAAACCTGACATTATCCAATGAAAAGTGTCGTTATCAATTGAATGCCAACGTGAGCTGTGTGTGTCGCTCATTATTCTCAGAGTGAACGTCGCTCTCGTTCACGTTTATTACTTCAAAACTAATCCGTTCACTAAAAATAGGAACATATTCTTTAAACACCGTTCATGCTAAACACTGATTATGTCCTGGAAGTATTGTTGAGAATGAAATAGGTTGTAATTTATGCTGCTTTATTTTTCCAAACAACTGGTATTTTCTGTGTATTTTTAGCAACAGAGGAGGAAAAATTGATTCCCTCCAGTTGAGTCAGCAGGCAAATTTTAGAGGCACTAAGATGTTTTCAACCCCTCAAAAGATAATTTGTTGGTTTTTAATTATATTGATTGTTTTTAACTCCTCCCACTGAACAATTTTTTTTTGTAATGATGTGATGATTTACATCCAAATGACGTATACATTTAGTTGATAAATGAAAGGTGAAAAGTTGTTATTTGAAGATCGCTAAAAATACGTTCAAAACTGGGTTTTTTAGCGTATTTTTTAATATCTATTGTTGGACTAATTTGAGAACAATTCAGAGAAACCAAACAGCCAAATATTCAACAATGATTTCTGGACTAAATCAAGACTATGATGGACCGACCTGATTTAGCCTAAAAACCAACGTCTAAATGAAGTCTAGTGTTAGGGGGTTAATATTTCACTTTTACAATGAACTGTTGACCAATCCTACATTATAATGTCAGAATAATAAAACCCTAAACAAATAATAATCATCATATATCAGGGTTTCTTTGCTTCAGTGTAGATAGAGAGCCACATCAGTGAGTCGTTATCCAATCTGTTCCACTTGTTCATATAAAGTAGGCTGGCATCGCTTTAGGATTTAATAATGGATCAATAAATACAATTTACAATTCCTCTTTAATAATTCAATTTAAAATTTACAATTAGAAAACGCTTTTTAAAAAGGATTTCTAATTGTTTGATTTAAATGTTTAATTTCAAATGGCAGTTTTTCTTTTTCACTAAAACACATTTTTTATATCCGTGTTCTTTTATCAAAAATGTTTCAGAGGACCTCAGTATTTTTTAAAGTCTGGTTCCGGCCCTGTGGATGATGATAATAATATACTAATATAAAATCATTTCCCATCAATATTGGCCTGTAGGAGTCAGAGGAGCACAGATGGGGAGGAGAGATATTCCCTTGGAAGGCTGAGTCTAAGGCAGGGCTCACCTACCTGCAGGTAGCCGTCTAAAAATAGCAAAGATTCACCAAAGATAAAACTGAAACTGATTTAAAAAGGAGTTTAGGGAGATTTTTGAATCGTTGTTGAATTATGATTTCCCCTCCATGGACAGAAAAACAACAATAATGAAATAAAAGAATATATAGTTTAAATACCTGATCTGAAAATATATTGTTAAAGCTGAAATATAATTTGTTCAAACATAAAGCAGATGTGGAACATATTCAGTTAAAGTTTCCCCAAAATGATCTGATGTTAAATGACTTTAAAATGTTGAAAAGTTCAGTTTAGGCAACTGGAGGTGAAGTTTTCTAGAAGACGTTTCTCCTCTCATCCAAGAGGCTTCTTCAGTTCTAACTGGTGGTGGGGAGCAAACGTCTTCTAGAAAACTTCACGTCCAGCTGCCTAAACTGAACTTTTCAAGCTTGACCATGACCTGGATGACTGAGAATCTTCAGACTTTAAAATGTTGAAAAGAATTTAGACAAAGCAAAGGGAGTCATTTTCCATCCTAAAATCTGTCTGTCTCTCTTCCCAGGGTAAATCCTCAACCTACTAACTGCTTCATTTGAAACTCATTCTGATTTTTACTAAAGCTTCAATGGAAAGCTATTAAAAAACCACCCAACAATAAATGAGCATGGAGTAGCTCTTTATGTGGTTTGGTTCCCTGGCCTGAAGCAGCTCTCAGGGTCTAAACTGTTGATGACCCCTGATCTAAAGGATTTCACAGGATGGAGTCGTTTGGAATACAGACAGTGTTGGAATTTAATTGAAGGTAATATGAATATGAAACATGAAACATAAAGTGAACAATATCAGACTTAGAAACCATGAGCCTTTATTTAAGAGAGTAATGATTAGAAAGTGGAGATAGCCAAGAAAGATCCAGTGGTGTGAAAAAGTATTTGCCCTCTTCCTGATTTCCTTATTTTAACAAGTTTTTCACACTTAAATGATTCAAAACATAAAACTAGTCAGAATATTAGTCAAAGACAAAACCTGGAAACACAAAATTCAGCTTTAAAAATTAGTATTTATTATTAAAAATCTAATTTGCTTCAAACTAACTTTTTTAACCACTGTGCAAATATTCCAGATTAACTTGATCCAAATAAGTAGTTTAATATTTCTTTAATTCTAGTAATATTTTTAGGGCTTGAAATTAAAACCATTTTAGTCACTTTTGGGCCCAAAATGTAAACCGTGCAACTTTGAACAAATGAAATGTGCAAATATTAAAGAAGCAATGCTGCCTATGCAGGCGCCACTGATCTCTCTGACCACCATCAGTAGGCGATGCGGGTGAAGCGTCTTGCCCAAGGACACAACGGCTGAGATGGATGAAGCTGGGCTTCTAACAGGCGACCCTGCAGTAGCAGGACTAACTGCAGCATCCTGTGCTGCTGTCGCCCCCATGGCATTAGCCTGGATGTTGATCAGAGATGAATCAGTTTACTGTGTTTCAACATAACGGGAAGGTTAAGGCAAAATGCTGAGGGACAAACAGATTGAACAGTCCTGAAAATCTACTGGGAGCTTCAAACATTTTCACAGGAAGTTGTCTCTGCTAAATCTTTCCAATTTGAGAAAAATCAAGTTTTAAATTTTAATTAGCTGTTGAGAAATGTGATAAACATGCTGTACATCTCCTTGGGGCTAACCCCCCCTGTCCTTAAAACTTAGTGACGCCTCTGATTTCCTCAAACAAAGAAAACAAAGCTGCTAGAGTTATCTTTTTATTTCCCCTTAAAATAAGGCCTAAAGAAGAAGAGCAGTTAATCCTCAGGGAGGCAGGATTGGACTAAAAACTGTTGGTAGAAATGAGAGCAGAACACATGAGGAGGTCATCCACTCACCTGATCCAGGTTAGATGAAGAACTAAGACAGGCAACACAGACCATCCAGCAACATTTCCAACACTATGGTTTACAGATGACAGGAACTTTGGAAGAGAGCAACTTTGACTCATTGTTTTCATTCTCATTAGCTGAGCTTGGCTGCTGCTGAGGATTATTTTTCTTCACTAACTGCTCAGGGAAACAGGCTTCAGAATGTAACTCTCCTCTTCACATTGACTGAACGTTGGTGGGAACCAAAGCTTCTTTGGGTTCCTGTTGCTTTTCTATCTGGAACAACCAGTCCAGCCAATCTTCACTGACCTCTGGCCTCAATAAGGCATTTCCACTGAGAACGGCAGCTAACTGGCTGTTTCTCTCTTCCTCCCACCATTCTCTAAAAACCTACAGCTGGTTGTGGATGAAAACCACAGCAGGTTTTTGAAGCACTAAGACCAACAACCATGCCGTGTAAAGCCACTAAAATCACCTTTCCAAGTCTGGGCTCATCCAGAGGCCTATTTCACAGAAGCTGAATTCAGATCCAGGATGAGATAAAGCCAGGCTTGATCTAGCCTGATCAGTGCATCCTGGCTTTATCCGTTTCACTCTGACCAAGCCAGGCTCCACAGGTGGGATTATGGCAGATTCATTGATTTAGCAAACAGTGGATCAACTAAATGCCTAAATAGCCTCAGATACAGATTTCCTAACCACTTCTCTTCACTGAAAACATCAGAAATGAAGAAGTTACTTCTCATTTTTCTCAACCACAGACAGCACAGTAACAGAACGACACCATGGGGGCGGAGTTTAGTGGAGCAATGCAGGTGGAGGAGGAGATGAGAAGGTTTGAAGTGGAGGAGGAAGAAGATTCCTGGCTGTTATCAGCGATAGCTCAGGAAGCTGGAAAACCAGTGAACGGCGGTGGTTTGTTAGAGCGCTGAATAAATCCAGAGATCAACAGGGAGAAGATAGTGTTTCAGTTTGACAGATGCGTGAGCTGGACGACCAAAGACATTTTTCAGATTTCAGGATGTCAGCCACTGAGGACCTTTCACTGCCTCCTGTCATGGATGTGTCTGAAAGAGGGAAGACTAGCCATGTGGTTCACAGACAACAAACTCTAACAGAGAGAATTCAAGTGTTTTCTGAAGGAAAGATCATGAATGATAATGTGACCTTTAATGTTATTCTTCCTGATGGGAAATTGGAAAAGGCTGTAGAGGATGGTGGTGTTCTAAGAGATGTGCTGTCAGAGTTTGGGATGACCTTTATGAGCAGTGCATCATGGGAAATGACTTTAAAGGTCCAAACCTGTGACACGACTTTGGAAAAGAAGAAAGGGAAAGTGTAGGGCCAATCATTGCTTTGGGCTGGAAAAAGAAAAGCTCTGAGCCAGAAAACTTTCAGCTGAGCTTCTTGAACAAGCTGCTCTTGGTGTCGCTGAAAGTGATCCATTAAATAGTTTGTTTTTCACACTCAGAGTGAACGAGTGTCTAACAGTGAATGAGGCTGCATTTCAGAGTCTGAAAGTCTTGACAAAGATATTAGAATTGCTTGATTTGCATATTTGTCGTAGGCCTCAGACAGCAAGAAACACAGCAGATCTTAAAAGAGCTGCTCACCAAAAACTTCCCCAAGAGTCAGCCTTTGTTATAGAGGAGTGGAGTAATGTGTTTGCACTAAATCAGCCAGAGCTGACAGGAACTTCAGCTGCCTTTGATGCACTGCAACCAACACAACCTAAAATAATCCATTCAGTCACTTTCCATAGTGACCCAAATGCCCTTAAAAACTAATCAGGAAGTAGCTAACTGCAGATCTTAGAGTGATTCTGTCCATCTTTCCAGTTTTCTCAGGTTTTCTCCAGGATCAGATCTGTTTCCAGGGAAAAACATCACTGTGTCCTTCACACAGGTTCAGGGCTTCCAAAGAAGACCTATTGTTCACACATGTGGGGGTTTCTTAGAGCTGACAGTCGCTAATGAAAGCTACCCTGATTTCTGACATGAAATGAACAAAGTTTTAGAGCAACATCTGGATTATGGATATTGCTTAGTTTGATCCCAAAGTAAACAACATTATTCTGTTTGTATAGATTTAAACACTAAAGTATTAAACCCAGATTACTTCTGCAGGTTGGAACATTTTTTCTAATGAATGTTTCTATAGCTGATGTTTTATGATGTTGTGGTTTTAACCAGTTTATAGCTACTTTTGCACAAGTCTGATGGAAGCAGTTGATAAACCTCAATCTAAATAATTATTCTCATCAACAAACACCAATGTCTGAAGTTACTGCTGTAGTTTTTTCAAACAATGCAGCTAAAAATGCAGAGTTGTTCTCCTTTTAAAGATGTTTTTCCAACTATACCAAAGATTTTGTTTTTTGTTCAAGTAAAGACAAGTACATGGATTCAGAAAGTGTTTTCCATTCAGCTTTTTAATCAATATGTTTTCTAAATTAGACATGCATTTTTCAGGCTGTTGAGGAACAAAACACTTGGTAGCAAAGAGCTGAACATTGTTACAGGTTAGAATAAAATGAGCTTAAATGGTTCAAGAAGTATTTTTATGAGGTTTTCTTTCTTATTTGCAGTTTTTTTAGATCCATTTAATAGGATCCATCCATCCTGGACAGGTCGTCCATCGCAGAGCAACACAGAGACACACAACCATGCACACACACACTCACACCTAAGGGCAACTTAGAAACAGCAAACAGCCTAACAGTCATTAGTTGGACTGTGGGAGGAAGCTGGAGTACCCTGAGAGAACCACGCAGGCACATTCAAACTTCAACACTTTAACATGGAATAATGAGCAATTTCTGAGCTTCACACCAGACTGGAAACTAGACGATTGTCCAGATGATCACTGATCCAGACCAGCTGCTACCCTCCAGGACCAGGATAGTAACTAGTAGAGGAAAATATTGGATGAAATATTCTATCTTTGCTGTCTTTAAACTGGTTCAGAATAATTAACAGTGGAAAACAACATGAAATATCAGAACATGTTGAATTAGACACTACAATGGTTATTGAGTCATTAAAACATTGGAAGTGAGAAAACAAACATTTCCAAGCTCAGCTCTAACATCTTTGCTTCCAAACGGTCTCCTAAACAGAATCCCTGTCCAAGGACCAATGGAGACGATGAAAACAGAGAAAAAATGAGTGAAAAAGGAGTGAAAACAAACAAATCTCTAAACTCAGAGTTCATCATCAGGATCCAGTCAGAGTCTCTTTAAACTCAAACTGCTGCAGCTTCAACCTCTGAGGATCATCAGGACACAGATCAGCTTCTCTCCTCCACTAAGATCACCAATCCCGCCACTCCCTGCAGAGAGAAGAAGGATGAAGAGAGGAGATCAGTGAGTGTTTCCAGCCTCTCTCTCTCCATCAGCTGTCAGTCAGTGATGCAGCACATCCAGGATAAAGAGCAGCAGGGACTTCAGTCCTGTTCAGAGCAGCTGTGGAGCAGAGCCAGCTTCCTTTCAGCTCTCATCTTAACGTGTTGGAGTGAACACACTGAGCTCCAAGCTCACACAGCTCAACACATTTTTAGCATCCAGTCTGGTTCCTCTGCAGGTTTCCCTCCAGTCCACAGTGGAAACCACCTGCTGAGAGTCCTGAAGGCTTCATTGCTGCACAAACACTGTAGTGATGGATTTAGTGCTGCTACATGTTAGCTGCTGCTCCATTTAGACACAGAAACTCTGGCTGCTGATCAACATCTCATCTGTTTCTGAAATATCAGCTGACTAAGAAACATGGAGGCTGTCCCTGAACACATCTGGATGAGACTAATGACAGAAGGACACATGTCCAGATGTGCTGAGTGGACTTCAGCAGAGCTTCTGCTCTGTAGAAAGACCACATGGTGACTAAATGGAATGATGGTTTGTGAAATCAGAGCCACTGATTTCCAGGCTGCATTCAGACTGATCTCAGAGCTGTGGCTAAGATGAAACTGATCAGTTGTTTCCTGTTGAAATGAGAGAACAAAGAGTCTGAGATCAGATCTGATGCTCCCACAGTTTGATGGATGAGGACCACTGTCTCTAGACATGTTGGAAGGCTGGCAGCTGGAATCCAGCTTCATTTCCTGGAGACATGAACACAACAACAACAGTCGTCTTCACATCAACACAAACACAGGAACACAACCAGCTTCTGGCTCCTCTGATTGGCTGATTGGTGTCTCTGTGTCCAATCAGGAAGCCTGTCACCATTCTCCTCCCACTGAGAAGCTGCAGCTTTACTGGAAACACTGGATCTTTGCTTTGATACTAACTGGGTTTAGAACAATCCTGCTGACAGCAGCTGGACTCACTCCAACCATCTACTTACAGATTCTGCAGTTTGTAGTCTGGACTCTTTACAAGATCCAGCAGCTGCTGAACATCTGACTCCTTCAGGTTGTTTCTCCCCAGGTTCAGTACTGTCAGATGGGAGGGGTTTGACTTCAGAGCTGAGACCAGAGAATCACAGCTGATCTTTGACAAATCACAGCGCCACAACCTGGATAAAGAGTAAAAGACGTGTTGAAGCAACTGGAGAGACAGGTTAAAACTAAAATAATGAAAAAATAATGAATAAAAATTTTTTAAAAATTATTTGACTACAGCATCAACACCTACAACAACTGGTTAAAATGAAACCCTATGAGTTACTGCAACATTTAATTTCCCTTCTGGATTAATAAAGTATTTTATTCATTGAATTGAATCTATGGAGGAAGATGAGAAACAGCAGAACCAACAATGCAGGTGATCTGAAGGCTGCTATCAAAGCAAGCTGGACTTCCATTGGACCTCATCAGAACCACAGGCTGATCTCCTCCATGCCACGCCGCATTGATGCAGTCATTCATGCAAAGGAGCCCAGACCCGGTACTGAGAGCACAGAAATGAACAGAACTTTCAGCAGCCTGACATTTCTGCTTCAAATCTCCTTTTCTGATCTGAGGTCATCGTTACTCTGCAGAAAATAATGAGTCAGCTCATCTCCATCATCAGATTGATTCTAGCAAAGTGTAAAACCAGAGGATCCAGGTTAACAGGAGTGGACTCGGAGCGCTGTCTGTACACTGCCTCATCACATACTGACTACACTTCTCTGCTCAATGTTATCACAACCAGAACAATAAACACCAAGGGCGCCACCAGGGGGTGTCCGAGGGTGGCCACAGCCCCCCTGGCTTTGCCCTGGCCACCCCACTGGCCAGTGTAAATTGTAGTAGCATCTGTTTAGCGTTTACCCCCATTATGCACCCAGCAAAGCAGCCGCTCTCCCTGTCCTTCTCCCACACTGTAGTCCTCCTGCTCTCCCCCTCCTCTACCCGATGTTAGCTTGCGCAAATGAGCTACCGGTACAGATGACTCTTCAGCCTGTAGCCGCTTTAATGGTGAGAAAGCGTATAAAACTAACAATAAGTAAACAAGTCAAATACTTTGTTTGTGAAAGGGGATATGTGAACTGTAACATTATACTGTTAAAGCAGCTTTTAGTGAGTTTCTGACAGAGTTATGTAGCTAACTGGATGAGCTGGTGATTGTGGATGGATGGTCAATTTACAGACATGAAGAGAAAGTCCACAGAAATCTGTTCTGATTTTAAGAAGAGAATTACAGCAGAAACAGAGAAAGATGACAGGAGCAACAGATAACCAGTGAGGAGGAGGAGGAGAAGGAGGATGATGAGGGGAAGAGAGAGGAGGAGTAGGAGGAGGTGGTGAGAGAGAAGGAGGATGGAGGAGGAGAGAAACAGATCCAGCAGCATGATGAGGACACAGAGCAGCATTAGTAAAGAACAGTGATGAGGAAAAGCATCAAACAGCAGCAGACCAGGGACAGTCAGCAGCTTTGATGACAGAAGCAGCAGAACTCAGTGAAAGCAGGTGTTCCACCTGTTCCTGGACCTGCAGTCATTTTTTGTTTTCAAACAAATTATAAATGTACAACTTATTTCAAATATAAATAAAACAACTATTGTTCAACTCAAAATGTTAACTGGTCTATGTCTGTGCACATTAGATCAGTAGTAACATTAATAATCACACAATAAGCCAAAAGATATGAGTAGGTGTTTACTACCACAGCAGTGGAATAAAACCCTGAAATGATGTTTCTTGTTCCACCCCAAGAATTTAAGAGGCCCCATCTGGCCACCCCTATGAAACATTTCTAGAGGCGCCCCTGCTAAACACTTGGACTGTAAAACCCATTAGTAGTACTGTAGTCATCCCTATTAGAACCCATGACATCACTGTCTCTAGATCCAGTTTTATAGAACTTCTGACCAGTTTTCATTCTATCTGATCCTCTGATGGATCACCTTTATGAACTGGATCAGCTCAGTAAATAGTCACCAGCATCTGTGCTCATTAACATCTGAAGGACACAAGCAGATTAGAAACAGAGCAAATTATTCTGGGTCAGAGAAGCTGAGCAACCAGACGAAGCTGAAGTTGGCTTCTGATTGGGGAAATGAGTAAAGAGCGATTCCACCTAATTTTTCCCAACCTTCAGCATTTTTAATTGACTATAATTAAAAAACTACAACACCTAGACACATCTAACCAGGGCCAGATTATTCTAATCTACTGGTAGAATAATTAAAACCAGTTCTGGGATTTGTGAAGATTATTCTAAACTACAATTAGTTAAGAATAATCTAGTCCAGGTTAGATGTGTCTAGGTGTTGTAGTTCTTTAATTAGAGTAGATTAAAATGCTGAAGGTAGGGAAAAATTAGGTGGAATCGCCCTTTACTCATTTCCCAATCATAAGCCAACTTCAGCTTCGTTAGCTCGTGTAATGGTGATTTTCCACAGATGAAACCGGGCAATACGTCTTCCTGTGTCCAGAAGGAGCTCAAAGCGATTAGAAGAAGCAGCAGGTCAGGAATGATGCAGTTGTGTGGTTTCCATGTGCTCCACCTCTACTGGCCCTCAGTTCCCACGTAGCCAGAGGTCCTCTGAGCGATGAGGGCCCTCAGAGTGACTATCTGGAGTCCGTCTCTCGTTATCCAGTCCGCTAACGATCTTCTGTAGCCCTTTAAGTTCCACTCTAGCAGCCAAACAGCAGCTTCCAGTAGTCCATGTTAGTGAACAGCTAGCTTAGCTTCACTCTAACTCTCAAGTTCATCCAGCAACAAAGAAAACAAACACACAGCCCAACAGCTTCTCCTTCAAACTCTACTGTGTCCTGCTAACCTGCAGACTGGATATTAAACTTCTCCTGACAACAAGTCTGAGCTAACTCACTTCCACACCAGCTACCTGCTCCTCCTCTCCTATCTCTTCTTCTTGTTGTTGTTTCTTGTTTTAATGGCGGTTGACAAGCAACTTATTGGTGCGCATTATTACCACCACCTACTGGTAAGGAGTGTGGATCAGGACGCAACTTAAAAAAAACAAAAAAAAAAACTAAATCCTTTCTATCAGTTTAGTTTTCTTAAGAAAGCTTATTAAATAACGTAAATATTCAGAAGAAGAGCAATATCCCAACATATCTGATACTTTTAACTGTAACTTATTCTTTAGAAGTCGATATTCTAATTTCTTTCTCTCCTCAGAGTACTTTGGACATAACAACAAAACATGTTCTACTGTCTCTTCTTCAAAACAAAATTCACAATTTCCTGATGGATGTCTTCCCATTATAAATAATGTACTGTTTAAACCTGTATGACCAAAACGTAACCTGGATATGATATTTTCTTCTTTTCTACTTCTTCCTGTTCCCCTCATTACCCCAACTTTCCTTTGAATGCTATAAATCATCTACCAGTTCTTTCCTCCTCCCACTGCTTCTGCCATCTTTCCTTAACCTTTTGTTTTATAATAGATTTGATCTCCTCTTTACTAAATGGAATCAGTATCTCAATGAAACTGTTTTTTGAAGCTTGTTTTGCATATCTGTCTGCCAATTCATTTCCTATTACTCCTATATGAGATGGAACCCATGTAAAAATGACAATTAATCCCATGGCCTGAATTCTAAAAAGTATTAACTGAATCTCCAATAGAAGGTCTGGTCTACTATTGGACTGATTATTTTTAATTGAATATAACGATGAGCTTGAATCAGAACAAATTAAACTTCTTAAAGGACGAACCTCTTCAATCCAACTTAAAGCCAAAATAATTCCCATCATTTCCCCTGTAAACACTGATACGTCATCAGAAATCCTCTTACATTTTTTAATATTAAATTCTGGGACGATAAATGACACCCCATTGTTGCTACTTAGGCTTTTAGATGCATCTGTATACACTTGAACATAACCAAAATATTTATTTTCTATATATGATTGGACTGAGCAAGATTCTGAAAAATGTCCTTTTTCCCTCTTCTTCAACAATGATAAGTCTACAATGATGTCATTAAATAGAGATGGATGAACCAGTGACAGAGGAACTGTTTCACTCATTTTTATGGATGATAACTGAAAATTTTTAATATCACTTTCTATCTCCCAACCAAAGGATTTTAAAGTCTTTTTCCCTTTTTCCCAACTAGGTTTTAAAATTTCTTGACATGGATGGTTTTCATAATGACCCTTTAAATAACTCCAGTAAGATAATCTTAACTGTAATCTTCTAAGGTAAAGTGGTATTTCCCCCATTTCAACTAACAAAGCTGAGATTGGAGTTGTTCTGATGGCTCCTGTACACAACCTCAAGGCCTGAAACTGAATAATATCTAATTTCATAAGAAGTGTTTCTGATGCTGATCCAAATGCCAGGCTGCCATAATCTAATACAGATCTTATTAAACCCGTATAAATTGATTTTAACGCTTTCCTCTCAGCGCCCCACTCTCTCCCCACCAAACACCTCATAACATTTAAAACTTTCTTACACTTATCCACTACTTTTTGAATATGACTACTCCAGGTCAATTTTTCATCCATCCACAAACCCAAAAACTTAAACTGCTTTACTCTTTCTAAATCATGTTTATACAAATATAATTTTAAATCACTAGATACTTTCTTCCTAGTGAAAAATAAAGTATTTGTCTTATCTATTGAAATTTTAAAACCCCAATTATATGACCACTCTTCGATACTATAAATTGCTTCTTGTAATTTCTTAACTATGAATTTCAAGTTCTTACCTCTCTTCCAGATTGCTCCATCATCAGCAAATAATGAACAACCCATCCCACTCTCCAACTTATCAAACATATCATTAATCATAATAGAGAAAAACAAAGGACTCACAATACTTCCTTGAGGTGTTCCGTTTTCAACGAAATATTTTTCTGACAATTGTTCTTCTTCTTCTTCTACTTCATGGAATTTGTTGCCGGTTGGCACGCAACGAAATGGTGCATTACCGCCACCAACTGGTATGGAGTGTGGATCAGAATGGATACTAATTTATACTAAACAAACAAGTCACAATCAAATTAACAAAATAATATCAACAAAACCAAAATAAGATTCAGATCCTCTCAATTATATTTGTTAATCTAAGAAAATGAAAAACAATTACATAACACTTATCTCTTG